TGGAAAAGGGCAGATGCTGAGAAGGAATTCCGCAAGTGCTTCCAGAGCAATGGGACACAAAGTTACAATCTGATCCTCTTTGTGTATCACGCCTACCTCAATGACCTTCCTAGGAGGTATCTCGATGACAAAGCATCTGAGACAGCCAGGCACAAACCTCTCTGTAGACAAATGGCACTTGTTCCTTCATATCCTGCTCTTCATCTCTCCCTCCTTTTCCTACAGTGTCAGATTTCTTTTAAATTTCCCCACATTTCACCTATTTGCTGCATTTTCTACCCTTTTATTTTACTCAAACTATTTAATTTTTCTTTTTTAGGAGACGGATACACATCCCATTGGCAACTTTGTCAGCTTTTTCATGGACTTTCAATTCCAGTGCCAGTTGGGGTTAGTGGGAGTTAAAAACTGAACCCAGGAATATCTCTGTCCTTTTGACTCTTCCAGCAAATTTAAGCAAGCCCATTATGAGCAATTAACTAAGAAAAAAAGTATAGTCAGCAGCTGCAGTGGCACTGACACATGAGGAGTACAAGCCCTAGCGAGAGGTTGTTTCATTCTCGTAAGTAGAGCTTTCAAGGGAGTTCCATTAGGGAATGTTAAGTCATATTGTTGGAGGCGGGAGTGGGGAACAATGGAGAGCAATTGTGTTGCTGCCTGTGGTTTTCTGCAATAGGTTTATGCTGCCTGTGTGATTCAGGGTGCTCTCTCAGTGGTTTTCAGCAGTTTTATAGCACTGAGATGTACTGATAAACAGAAAAGGTGTTCTGCCCCAGAAGCAGCTGCATGTAACTGTCTGAAACTCCTGAAGATGAATCTACAAAATGTTCCAAGATAGTGCTACTTGAGAGGCATTACAGATATTAAATATCTTCCCAGAGTGCCATTCCCTGCCCCTGTCCTCCATATCACAGCCTATCAGGGTACCCACAGAAATGCTGCACAAAGAAGGGGTGCCTGATAGTCTTTATTTCTTTATACACTTTGCATGCCCAGTCCCGAAACAGAAGAAAATGTTGAGGAGAAAAAGCAGGTCACATAGAATGGACGTGTTTCAGTAGGCAGCAATGGTCGATTTGATCCAGGAGACGTAATTGCAAACCTTAGTGTAAACCCCAGGATAGCCTTTCTGTGCACATCCCAAACCCCAGGAAACAATGCCCTGGAGCTTCCCGTTGCAGACTACTGGACCGCCGGAATCCCCCTGTGTGCATAAAGGATATGGATGGTCAGCAAGTGGTATCAGCGTAAGTGATGAGCCAGAGATCCCAGAAATCACTGACATCTGAGGGAGCTCCATCGTGGTTTTTCTATACAAATGTTCTACAAAGGTGATTTCTGATTACCACTCTACACCTGATGCTACTGTGCCTGCTTTAGCTCCAAGCACACCACAGCTGAGGATGAATAAGCTGCCTATTTTTGAGAGACGCAGTCCTTGTCAGACAGTTAGGGTATGTGTGTCTTAAAGATTATTCTGCCAAATACTTCCAGGGAGCTAGGCCCATGTCAAATGCAGAATGCTTGTCAGGTTTGTCCATTTGCCAGACTGCCTGGCATATTGGCTAGTTCATTTTTGGTAAGTCCAAAACTAACAATTGTGCCCTAAGCTCTAAAGTCACCATGATTACTATTCACTCTCTGGTGCAGTATTCCTCTATTTTTAATAGCCTGAAGTGCAGGAGGTGGCATAGGCTGCGTATAGAAATTTAGTTCAGAGGTATTGCTGTCTCAGAAAGAAGCAATGGCTGAGTGTTAAAACCTCAGCCTCACTCAATAAGCAACTTTCATCCTAAGCCTCTGCTGTTGTTAAAAATACCAATAACCTTCAGACATGACAATGCAGTGAGTATAGTAGATTCTCTAATATGAAAGCCTCTTCTGCTGGAAAAAGGTAGGAGAGAAACATAGGGGAAAGGAAGGCAGATACTTTACCTGGCAGGAGTCCTTTCCTCCTTCCAGGAATCCTACACATATCATGTTACTGGTGATTTTCCCAGGGTAGGCTTTGCTGCACGCACTGGAGGAGAGTACAGGAGCGTCCAGGCACTGCAAGGTATCTGGGTACGCACCTACATGAAAATAGGGATAGATGGTTGATAACATCTCTGAGTTCATTTCAGAGCCCAGAAATGAGCATTCTGAGCAGAAAAGTAACCACTGATTGTCCTTTTTGCAGTTGTCTTTCCTCCTCCAAGCAGTAATCACAGCATGGATGGAACAGGTTCTACCCATGGGTCCAACTGTTCTATATTGCAGCCACACTGATTTTTCTGGTACTGTATTGGGTTTTCACGGTAAAGTTTTGGTAGTGGGGTGGCTACAGGAGTGGCTTCTGTGAGAAGCTGCTAGAAGCTTCCCGTGCCCAATAGACCCAATGTCAGCTGACTCACCACTGGCTAAGGCTGAGCCTATCCACAACAGTTGTAGCCTGCCTGTGATAACATTTAAGAAGGGTGGGGAGGGAAAGCCCTGCACAATTGCAGTGGGAGAGAGGAGTGAGAATATGTGAGAGAAACAGCCCTGCAGACACCAGGGTCAGTGAGGAAGGAGAGGAGGAGGTGCTCCAGGTGCCAGAGCAAAGATGTCTCTGCAGTCTGTGGTAAAGACTGTGGTGGGGCAGGCTGTCCCCCTGCAGCCCATGGAGGTTAATGGTGGAGCAGATACCCTCCTGCAGCCTGTAGTGGGAAGGACCCCACGCTGGAGCAGGGGAAGAGCATGAGGAAGAGCAGCAGAGATATGTGATGAACTGACCACAACCCCCATTCCCTGACTCTCTGCGCTGCTGTGGGGGAGGAGATAGAGAATTTGGGAGTAAATTTAAGCACAGGAAGAAGGGAGTGGGCGGGGGGAAGGCTTTGGTGGGCACCTGGCATCCAGCTAGGGTCAATCACCACGGTCTCCTAGAAAAGCATCAGTTGACAGGTCTGGTGCTGAGAGCTACTTTGAAGCACATATACTGGAGGAAACCTGTGCTTCAGGAAAACCATCCTCTTGCTGCTGCAGGTTTAGTTGTTGCAAGTGGATTAAACACCAGTCACCATCCACACCTCTGACCACTGGTGTAAGAGAACAGAGCGCTCTTCTTGTAATTTTAGATCCACAGTCACATATTTTGGTCTCGTTCTCAGAGAAGAGACAACTCTATTGACATTAGTTGCTAGTGCTTGGCACTGCACAACTGATAGCTCTAGACCACAAAGTCTGTGGCATTGTGAACAGTACATGGATGACTTAAGTGGTTCCACATTAATAACATAGAAACAGAGGAAGCACCTTATAAAGTCATACACGGACTGATCACTAAAAAAGGCCTGTCCCACAACACTTCTTTACCGTGTAACTGTTAACTGTGAGGTAAACGTTTCCCAGACCCTCATGACGCTGTACGTTCCCACAGGGTACTCACTAGAGCTGCTCTTTGTGTTGCCCCAGCCAGAGATGAGGCATGTGGTGCCTGCAGTCACACAGCTGGTAGGCAGAGAAACTGTTTGGACAGCTGTGTTGAGCTGGGCTGGTGTGGAAAGCTTGATGAGCATAATGTCATTGTCCAGTGTTTCGGAGTTGAAACCAGAGTGACGGATGACTTTAGATGATTTAATCAACTGCTGTGTCGATTCTGTGAGTGCCAGGTTATGTTTCCCAAGCTGCACTTGGATGGAACTGGAAAAGAGAAGAAATGGCATATACTTTATGGCTACAAGAAGTTACAAGGAAACTCCCTGCCACCCTATGCACTCCCTTCAAAATAGCTGTCCTAATAGGTGTTTTCATGCAGGTTATCTTTCTTGTCCTGGGAATCCATGCTGAGATCTTACCCATTCCCTGTGCAGATTGTGAATTTCTGCAGGTTTATTTTGTTGAGCTGAGACAAGTTGAACAAATAACAGTGCTTTATACAAACATTTAGGGAAAAGACGATCTGTTACCCTGAACTCATTTCTCTCCCTGTTCTCCACTGTCTAAGTTTTAGCAAGATTAATGCAATTCATAAGAAATCACAGCCTGTAACTCACTGCTAGATTGTCACATTGTCATTTCAGAAAGTGCTCTGCAATCACAGAAACATTTGCAGAAGTGGAAAACCCCTTATGATGCTTCAGCCCAGCTCTCTGAATGAGATGCCCATTCCTTGAACGGCATCACTTGCATACCTGGATCTCACAGATCAGAATTCCTGCTAGAAGTGAACTGAAAGAATGAAGTAGGTAACAGAAGATTATGTTTTTTCTACTTACCTCTTGTAGCAGTGAGCTGCCGACACGACCCACTGGCTGTTGATAAGGGAGCCTCCACAGAAGTGATACCCAGAGCTCAGAGACACCTGGAATGGGACAGAGTTCGCTGCACAGGTGTAGCCCCCAACAATCTTATCATCATCATCATCATCGTTGATGGGGAAGGCAACTGGAAAATAAGAAATGGCACATGTCAACATCTAGCATAAGGAATCTTGTGTCCCTGTGACTGAAGTATTTCACTTGCCCATAGTCCAACAATTTACTTCAACTTTATGACTTCCTAGACCAGAGGTTTTATCTTTATACTTCATAGACCTTAATATAGAGACAGTCTATTTTTGAAGCTATGGACACATTTCAGTATTCCTGGGCCAAGAACCCCTATGAAATCATTCATTCCCCATTTTGTGACACAAGCAATTGTGATCAGACAGCAGACAAAAGAAGTTGCAGTGCTCTGCCTTAAAACTTTTGCAAGTTGAAACTGGGCTTCACTTTCCCACAGTAGAATATTTTGCAAAGTTGCTCACAAAATGAGCTTCCTAAGAAATTACAAAGAAGTAAAAAATATACTCACCAGCCACACCAACAAAGGCGACAAACAGTATGTATTTCATGATGGTGACACAGCCGCAAGCCCAGACTGATGGACTGGAAGCATGAGCTGCTAGAAATACTCTTTTGAAATGGCCTTATCTCTAGTCCAAGGTTTTCTCCAGACAAAAAGTACACAGTGGAAAATTGGAAGATCCAAATGTACGTATTAAGAAGCATTGGCAGAAAGTACAAACCATGGATCAGTTAATCATAAACCTTTCCTAAGACAGAGAGCTATTCTAAATCATTGCAGAGGGTGGCCTTCAATTTAAAAATACATTTGGGCTTTGGAAGATGTGTAGCTGTTCGTTTGTCTCATCTATGCAGCAACTGTTGAGAGCAACCCTCAAATCCCTTTGAGATTCCTCTGTGCTGATGGTGTCATTCTTAAACATGCGTATTCTTGCTGGAAGCTGAATATTCTAGATAATGGACCATGCATTTATTTGAGAAAAGCAAGCAAGCAAGCAAACAAACAAAACCTCCCAGTGTTAAGTCTGTTAAGTTTATTTTAGGAATTTCCTTTTCTGGAGTAATGCATATGTGTTTATCCCATAGGACACAATGTTTTCCCAAATAAAATGATTCAAAATTCATTTCAATAAGTGAGTACAAAAAGCCTATTCTGTGCCCCTCACCACCTCCCAGGTTAAATAGTTCAAATGGAGGATGTGCACCATATAGCTTTGAAAGCACTACTCTCATCTAATCTATAGGATAATATAGGCCTAAGTACCAAACCATGTTTTCATTTAGTTTTGGAATGGTTTTGCCACAGAAGAATTTCAGTATAACATTCATGTTTATGGCTAAGAAGTATATGAACAAAAGTACTGGGAGCACAAATAATGAAACATGCTGAAAACCTTCTCTGAAAGAGTGATAATTCCTGTCATGATGCTGAATTTGCTAAAACTTAATGCATTTGATGAATAATCCTTTTTCCAAGCAACTGCTAACTTCATCGTGTTATCTGCTGAGAGACATGGGATACCCAAGTGACTGTAAACAGAACTTGTATGTTCTGAGATGCTGACATGGGGTGAGAAACTAAAGAGCAATCATTTTTCTTGATTTTTCTTGAAACTCCATTCCTTGATCATTTTTCTGAGCCCTGAGGACGGGTACACAGTGTCACTGTCCAGATGGGAATTTTCCTTCATGGTAAAGGAAAGTCCAGAGCCAGGGACTCCACAGAGGAGATGCACGACTTACCTTGGGCTTTACACTGGTGTCACAGTTTTGTTACAAACATGTTTTATCCTGAGAAACAAATAAAAATTAGAAGCTTTCTGTGGAAAAGGGAAAGATCTGTAATAGGACTAAGCATGGAAAAAAATTACCAAAGCTATCTAATCCCACATACCTATGCAGAGCGGAACAATTCCTGATCTACAATAGTGTTTCATTTGATCTCCCTGTGGCTTTATAAGTCCTTTGTCCACAACATGCCATTGGCAGTAATATTTTTCCTAAGATATAGCTTTAACCTATTGCATAACACTCAGGCTATGAAGGACAGCTTCATTTTCCTTCATTTCAGAGGGTTTAATATTTGGTTAAGTATCCACCCAAATTTCAGGAAAATCCAGTAATTCAGAATACAAATTGGGAAGATCGACCATACCTGCCTTCATCTTGGCACCTGGGTTTTGTTTTCCTTTGATACTTATTTAATCTACTCTGTTCTTTAATTATCAGTCATTCTTAAGAGCACGAAAGACTTTGTATCGGGATGTCTGGTAACCTCCTTGAAGAAAAAAGTTCTCCCTGAGTCTCTTTATGCTACTTGCTTAAATCAACAAGAGAAACTCTTCCCAGGCTACTGCCAGAGCTCACAGCAAAAGTCCTGGGGCATAGTTTCTGTGGTACTAGTGTGCCTAAGTTCTTGATGGCAGACACATAGTGAACATACTTCATCCAAGTCCCCCTCATTCTCCAGTCTGCCTCTCAGGGGCCTCTTCTGGAGGACTTTCTGAATCCCAGAACTCCAGAGTGCATGCCAGCAGGGCAGCTGATGGAGAAAACTGATTCAAATGAAGATAAATGGGACATTTGTGATACACAACTCAGAGATCATCCAGCACTCAGACCACTTCAGATCCCTTCAGGCCTTTCAGTGAGAAAGATAAACACTCCTTTGCATTCCGGCTTAAACAGAATCACCTTTTCCTGCCCCACTGTCCTTTCTTTATAATGACAAATTACTAAATAAATGTAAATACCATCTTCCACTCAATGAGCCGCTTCAGTGTGTGCTTGAGCCCAGAAACCCCCTGCGTGCTGGGCTGCATCAAAAGAAGCATGACCAGCAGGTCAAGGGAGGTGATCCTGCCCCTCTGCTCTGCTCTCATGAGACCCCACTTGCAGCACTGTGTGCAGTTCAGATTGTGTCCCATTGCTCTGGAAGCACTTGTGGAATTCCTTCTCAGCATCTGCCCTTTTCCA